CCGGTGGCGATATGTGACACAAGGTCAGTTTAAATTGGTGAGCCCAAGTGCGTACATCTAAGCTCAGGCCAAAATTACGCTAGGTGTCGATATTCCACCGACCCTGACTCTTTAGTTCAATAATGCCCTGGTTAGAATCTCCGAGAGCTGGCATTCGTCATTTATTTGTTGATATGGTATTTACTCGTTCCCCAATTGTGACAGGATGTTACACAACGTCGGTTTAATGTGGGGAGCCCAAGCGCGAGCACCTGAACTAAATTGTCCAGTCCCCGCAACCAACGTCACGCTGGTATCGATATTCCACCAACCCTCCCACTTGACTGCAATGAAGGAGGTGCTTCCGCACGGTTGGAACCCCCCGAGCCCAGGCATCTCTATTTTTTCTTGCGCTCTATCTAAAGACAAAGACGCAATGTTGGGAGAAAGCCTCCCCAGTTTGTTTTTTTGGCCCTCTTTTTCATCTCGACTGGGTCAGAATTTTTCTTTCCCCATGGCCGTATTTATTTTATCCTTCCTTGTCCCGTAGCGAAAGAGCCTCTTGATTTTGTCTAAAGACAGAATACAACGGCCCCTCTTAATTCTTTTGAGGGTTTGACGGGCCCAAATAATATTAGTTATCCTTATTTTGTGCATTTGTTTTGATATTTCAGTTTGTTTTGGGGTTCATCTCCTCTTCCTCTTCATAGCGTAGCATTTATAGATTTTTATATATAGAATTTTATGTTCATTAAATTTTTATGTCATGGGGTGATTTTTGTAGGTTCCCTAAGAGTATTCGGTATTGTGGTATATGGAGGAATGATTGATAATGGATGAGTTCTTGTGGTGGATGTGGAAATTTGTAACGAGTGACTGGGTCATGAATCTGATTAGCTAGGTATGAGATAGTAAGTGACGACCGGCATCAACCCATTCCCCCTTTTAGGCCTTGTGCCAAAATTGTATTTTTTATGCAATAAATCTTGACTCAATGTTAGGAGACATAATTACAGTCACCTCCCCAAAGTGAGTAGGCGTTTGAATAGTTTCTCTTTAACAAACAACACTCTTAAAAAAGAACATCGTTTTTGGCTTGCAAATGAAGTCCTATGTGTTAAAAACTGCAATTCAGATTTTAGCCAGTCAAACTTGTCAAAGAAATCAGAAAGACACCAATGAAGATTTTTATTTTACTGTCAGAAAAAAATATGGTTTGGTTTGTTTTATGGCATATCAACACCTCAATGAGTTATTTAATGCCGACTAGATTTTTATTGATGGTAATATTTTTTTCAAAAATGTATTACTAGTATTAAAACCTATTTTTACATTTTCATAGCGTTTTGACCTCAGTTTGTGGGTTAACTATTTACCCATAGCTGGGACCCTGACAGGTTCTACCACTCCGGGTCAAGGTGGACCTGGGAACAACAGCAATCAAAGGGCAGTTTCACGCTTTTCAAAACCTCCCAACCAGAAGCCTTGCTGCCGGATGTAGTTTATCGTCATACCCAGGATGCGGATGTAGTCTGTGGTCAATATGTATAGAACGTTGATAATTTCTGGCGGAAAGTAAAATTATAGCGATTTACTAAGCGTCGCTTAGACGTGGTAAAAGGGCGAAAGTAAGGAGCACCAAGTGAGAATCACTACTCGATTGTAACTGATCTAGCAAGACAAGCTTGCTAAGAAACTCGAAGTGCTCCTATTTATAAACGATATATTCTTGTTAATCTGCTTATAAGTGATCTTCACAATGTTGGAAATGAGTTTAATATATTTTTCTCTCCGTATAAAATAATTATGGGGGACTGATTTTCATTTTTTTAAAGCTTTCGTTCTTTCACACACTTCATTAACTATCGTAGCATACCAGTGACGAATGGTATGTCTCGATATAGCAAGAGATCTGATTTTGGCTTTCCTAAATGCCTCTCGCAGAATTCGAACTTACATTAAGTTTTTCGTGTCAATAAAGTACTAGGGGTCACTAAAATATAATCTTTAGTATTGAGATTGGTCAGTCACTTGCTTTCAGAAATAAATTATTTTGTTTATATTTTTCAATAGAATATGAAGAACTAAAAAAAACATTCTGGGCCATTCCCATTTATAAAACCATCTTTCGTTATTTTAGATCGAATTTCGCTTCTATCGACATTTTACTTTGGTTCATTATAGGTATTTCTCAAGGGAAATATCTTATAAGGAAAAAAAAACCTTTATAGGTATTGGCCAAACTTATGGAGTCTCATTGCTAATTGGCAAACTTATTTACCCACAGCAGCTTACCCAGGAAATTACATTTAGAAAATCTTTCTTTATTTGAAAGAAATGAAATCGAGATGGTCGATATTTTATTCACGCGAATTCCTCTCAACATTATTCGACGTAATTCTGTGGGATTAATTTGCAATTAGAATTATGCAACAACTTTTTTTTATAAGGTTGTTGTTTCTTATTTCTATTATAGGAATCTTGTTTTATTTCAAAACCATATTTTGAAATCAATAGTCAAACACGCTGGGGAAGGAGAGAATAACGGTAAAAAGAAAAACATAAGGAAAGATTTTTCGTTGAAAGCTTCCAGAAATGGGATTAATAAAATAAATAAATAAAGAGGTGGGATCCTTTTCGTGAAGAAAAACCAATCAATTTCAGATTTATATGAGCAATCCGTTCTTCATTCAGTTTTATTTTGCCTCTCAGCCGTTCAAGCCACGGGTATCTGTGTACAGCATTTAAACTTGACTATTATTAAATGTGACAAAGCCTTAAAAACACTAAACACAGAACACTTTAGTTACAAAATAAAAACATAAATAAATTCGAACCCCAGTATCAGATTATTTAAACCCTAAAAAAATTTATCAAGATATTTTTAAAATGATTGTCTTTATTTTATTTTTTTTTTTTTTGAACTCCTCAGTATGAAATTTAATTTATTTAGCTAGAAATATATTTTCTTTAGCCCTAGAACACTAACCATGAGTATATAGTCCCTAGCGCAAATTTTCCTATTTTTAATTACAATTTTCAGTACCTGATTTTCTTACCTAAATAATGTTTTTCAGTTCCTATTAATGTTAACTCAAAGTACCAAGTTTGAAGTGCCTGCATGTAAAATATTTCAAATAAAGATTTATATTTAATATTTTTTTGATATTTTCAAAATCGGGTATGATATACCCATGGTTAGTAGTGGGTTAACTTTAATTGATGGTTAGTGTTCTAGGGTTAAGAGTTAAAACTAACATATATTAGATTCTAGTTATCGAATTGACGTAGTGTCTTCATGAACAGAAACTTGCGGATGACTATCTGCACGTGTTTTAAATAGGCGTGGTGGGTTTAATAAAAGGAGTGACTGAAATTTTTAAATGATTTGTTATTATTTTTAGTTATGAAACACTTTTTCATAGTATGCTCCCAGCCGAAATTAAAGAGGAGGAAATATTTAATAAAATGACTGGTTACAAGAAGGGTGTCCCTGGTGAATGTCTCTTCAAAATGAATAATTATCCCTGCCCAATTATTGGAAGTCCAAAGATGTATATGTCACGAATTTAATAGGATGGCTGATTTAAAGATATGTCAGCTTTTGCTAGGTTATTTAATGTCGACATCGATGTCCTAGTCACAAAACAGTAAAAACTGTTTTGTAAGTCTAGTTTAAAACGAAACAGTGGGCCTCTACCAAAAAATACAAACCAAATAAGAATGTCAAGAAAACCAACTTCTCTACAAACTGTATATCTGGAAAGAATACGACAATTAAACACGACTCTTTAAAAAAAAATACGTCAATGAAACCTCATCTCCTACAAACTGATTTCTTACAAGTAATACATATTATATTCATACCAATCTATTCTAAAAAATCTTATCGGCATTTAATAGCCCATTGAGGTGTTAATATGCTGTAAAACAATATCTGTCTATTTCTGAGATGAGGTATTATATACACTATTTACATTATTCGGACTATTGTCCTCATCTTTGTCGCCATATTTATTACAACGTTTCAGCCGTTGTACGCTACGGCCTTCTTCAGGTTGTTGGAATGTCGAAGTGAACCCTTTATTTCGCTCACTGTGGTAGACTGTTCTAGTTCCACGTGCCATGTTTAATGGATATCAGTTGTCAGTTATCTCCTGTTAATTAAGTTCTCCACTGCCTTAACCGGGTATTGAACTCACACTCTTTGGGTCCTATCACTGGATCTAACCAACAACTTTATCTACAGTGCCATGTGTCTTCAAGGACATCCATAATGCTGTAAAACAAACTAAACCAAACCAGTTTAAAGCATCAAGCAATTGGTTAACAACTGGTTGGCGCTACTCATTCTTGCAAATCATACAGTCAGCTTAGTTTTCTATGGATTAAAAGAAAAGCAAGCGGGGAAGAATGATGAAATCATTTCATTATTTTATTTGTGTCTATAAGTATCTACTTGGGATAAGTAAAAAAAATTAACCGGTTATATTTCAGTCTGTAATCATTTTTCTTGGGAGGTGCCCCTTATGATTAGGATTGCCCCTCTGCAAGAATGAAGTTAGTGTGTCCCACGCCAATAGGGCAGGGATTTACTAGAGTGGACTAAAATGTCATATATCTAGACGTTATGACCCGATCAGAAAAAAAAGTGATATGTAATTTGCATTATTCGGACTGTTATCTTCATTTCCATATTCACAACGTTTCGGTCGTCGTACGCTCCGGTCTTCTTCAGGTGATTGGAATTTCAACGAACCCTTTATTTCCTCCACCGGGGTAGATTGTTCTAGTTCCACGTGTCATGCCTCTTCCGGATATCTCAGTTATTTCCCTTTAAATTAACTCTCCAAGCTTTGGTTCACCATTGATGTGGCCTGGTATTGAACTCACAACTCTTTAGGTCTAGTCACTGGATCTAACCAGCGCCTTTATCCACTGGGCTATGTGTCCTGGGTTAGATCTCGGCTCTCAAATTTCGAATTCCAAGCCGTTATCCATTTCACTTTCGCACATCCAAGCTTACAGCTCCTAGTATTCCCAAGCGGTTACCCATCTAGGTACTGACCAAGTTCAGCGTTGCTTAACTTCGGTGACTATATGTGAACCGATGTTTCCACGTGATATGACCTTAAGCTACAAAATCTCTAGAAATGCTTCAGTAATTTGATATTAACGAAAATGTAGCCTACCTAGAGTACTAGCGCCATAGCTAAAGTACTCCACTAATAAATTCTAAATCGTATTAGTTGACTATATCCATTAATGGTTCAAAGTTTGGGACAGTCACCAATCCATTCAATGTAGCTCTACATTCATCACTAAAAATTATAGTTGATAATCTTTCAAGTACAACTTGTGAGTTTTTCTTTGTGATGTTTCCTTAAAAGCGGTTGTTTTGTTGCCTTCACATGTTTAGTCAAGGGAGAAAACTCAGTTGAAACTTAGAAATGCCAAGCAAAGTTCATTAGTGTCATGTGCCGTCAAGGATTTAAAGGTTAATACTGATTCTTTAAAAATGTGTCTTTAAAATTACCAAAAGGCATTTGCTCCTTTCGCACATCCCGCTACTTCGAGTGCCAGTAAAACAGGCCTGTTCTTGGTAGGATTTTATCTGAGACAGTTGTGTCTTTTATGGAGTACCAGTGTTTACTGCCAAGATAAAAGCAGAATTTCAATTTCCGAATCTCAAGTCAAGCAGGTTGTTCCAGCTTGGAAGGCGGATCCAAAACAATCTTCTTATAGTTAGCCTTGTGCTATACTTGACTAAATGTAATCACTATCAAAACAAGCCTGTGTTTTCAAGCGAACCAAAAATCCAATTCTCAAGTTGATGTCATTTTTTAACAGTCTCGTTCTATTCTTGATTGCTTAATAGCAGCCATTTTCCCTGAAGAGAGTGGCGAGAGAAATGGAGAAGAAGCTTCGAAATGCGCGATCAATTTAGCGACACTGTTCTCATTCGTGTAAATGAGTCACCCGTCAAGGAAAGGATACAGGTCAGGGCGATTGCCATCATCATAAAACTAGTTTATATATATTTTACTTACTAGAGTATTTTGTTAAAGCTGAATAAATAATATGGCGCCCAGATTGGTACTTCACGTTCTAAATTGACCGAAGTGGAAACACAATAACTGCTCATCATTGTGGCGGAACTGGCCACATCTCCGTTAAGAAACGAAGTTCATAAACAAAGCTATGGATAACAAAATTATTAAAAGGTAACGTAGCCAACAAACCGCGTTGTATGCCGTTCTATAACGTATTGCATTGTTTGCTCGTCTGCAAATACTGAAAACACTCATTAAATATCAAATGAGTAGAGTTGAATCGCTTAAAGTTAATGTGTCGTCGCCGAAATGGTTTTATTTGCCGACATCCAAAATATATCAATGCTATTCAGATCGGAAATCATTTCTATCGAATTGTACATTAGATTAGTGAAATCGATTTTAGAAAAAACACAATTATTTTTATTTTCTTCTTTTTTACAAAATAAAATAACAATTCAATTTTTATGGCAAAATTTAATGTAAAAAACATTTCCGTAATGTAATCTGTGCAGTAAAATGTTTTTTATTCATTGAAAAACAGGCTATCAAGTTGTTCGTATATGAATTTCAGAATGGCATTAGAATTGAATGAATGTTTCCTTCTTGAAATTAAATCTGATCGATTGGTGGCGTCGATTTCAATTCCAATCAGAATTCAATATTTCTTAGTTTCCTTATCGACCTTTTGAACATTAGGAATGTATTATCTCGACTGATGGATTCCAAATGACTTTTCTACTAAATCGTCCAAGAAGTATTTAAATATTTCGTATATTTTCTGATATCATCGAATGGAAAAGATCTGACAGGAAGAAAATGACAAATGTTCAAATTATAAACCGCAAACGAAAAGAATATTCAGCAAAAACGAAATACAACTTTAAACTAAAAAATATAAAAGAAATGCAGTTTTAAAGTAAAAAAAAAAAATTAAAAAAATAAAAGAAATGTGTGTGGCATCCGAAGAACCTTGGATCTACGCCCAAAGAGTTATGCCTCAGCTGCTGGTGGCGGTCCAGCATCTGTTATGGCTGTACAAGCCTACACAGGAATGACAGTCTCGATTGCAACGAATGCATGTGAAGACGCTCTCCCCATTGTTTTATTTCCATTGAACTCTATTCTCCTGGACGACAAGCCTTCGTTTCTCTTCTTCTTGCTCCAGCCCACGGTGTAAATCGTGTCTCCAGCGTGAGCGATCGTTGATGACATCTTATGGCCTCTCGACGTCCATGTTCATCGCCCTCATGTCCCATTTGCAGAAGTTCTTGAAACAAAAATGAGGTCTCCGTTTCCTTTTGCTGGTGGCCAGTTCCCTGTACAGAAGGACCTAAAAGAAATGTAGCAATGCAGAAAAAGAAATGTTGAAATGCTATTTTAAATTAAAAAGAGAAGTGTAGAAATGCAGTATTAAAGAGATATGTAGAAATGCAGTTTAAATTTAAAAAAAGAAATATTGAAATACAGATTAAAACTAAAAAAAGAAATGTAGAAATACAGTTTTAAACTAAAAGAGAAATGTAGAAATGCAGTTTTAAACTAAAAGAGAAATGTAGAAATGCAGTTTAAATTTAAAAAAGAAATATTGAAATACAGTTTTAAACTAAAAAGAGAAATCTTGAAATGCAGTTTTAAATTAAAAAGAGAAACGTAGAAATGCAGTTTAAAACTAAGAGAAATGTCGAAATACAGTTATAAACTGAAAAGAGAAATGTTGAAATGCAGTTTTAAATTAAAAAGAGAAACGTAGAAATGCAGTTTAAAACTAAAAAAGAAATGTAGAAATGCAGTTTAAAACTAAAAGAGAAATGTAGAAATACAGTTTAAAAATAAAAAAGAAATACTGAAATTCATTTTTAAACTAAAAAAAATAAGAAATGTTTTAAAGTAAAAAAAAGCAGTGAAACGTAGAAATGAGAGAAAATATCATGTTTCTATCACTACAGATTTTGAAATGAGAACTAACAAATTATCTCTCTTTTAATTTTATCTGAAAGTTAATGTCATCCAGAATAGCCGGCAATAATTTAAGCTTCAGTTTTTTCCATACAAGCGTCTATCATTGTTACGCTCAGTTTTCACTGGATCGTCTTGTTCAATTTTCTGATATAATTATGACGTAATTCCAAACTTCAAAACTGAAAAAAAAAAACAACTAAGTAATATTAACGATATTTGCTACTCTATCCTTTTATTTCCACGGCAAATCTACAGCCGAACCTCTTTCCTTAGTGTTCTATCAGTTCTATCAGTTTTGACTTTCACAGCTAAGACCCGCCATACCATGTACCTCAAATTGAAGATAGCAGAATCGAGGAATACAGAAATTCAACTGGTTCAAACCGAGGTAAAAGCAAATGATTTGAAACGATGATTCTTAAGGCTAACAGGCCTTCCCAACTTAAAAGATTAGCACAAAATAATCTTCAATTTCTTCCTTTGAGGTTTGAGTATTTGCCTACGCTGATAAGTTTGGTTTGTTTTCTTTTACGGCACATCAACCTCAATGGGTCATTTAATGCCGACAACTTTTTTTTCTGGTAATATTTTTGTTTTGTCAAAAATCTATTTCTGTTAATATTTTTTCCTCAAAAATGTATAGCTGGTAATATTATTCTTCAAAAACGTATAGCTGGTAATATTATTTTTTCCAAAACGTATAGCTGGTAATAATATTTTTCCAAAACGTGTAGCTGGTAATAATATTTTTCCAAAACATATAGCTGATGATAATATTTCTTCAAAAATGTATAGCTGGTAATATTATTTTTCAAAAACGTATAGCCAGCAACACTATTCTTTCAAAAAAAGTATAGCTGGTAATATTTTTTCAAAAACGTACAGCTGGCAACATTATTTTTTCCAAAACGTATTATCAGAGGCTTTGCTGTTGGACGTAGTTTATCGTAATACCCAGGACTCGGATATAGTCTGGGTGTTAAATATTTGCCAATAGCTGGGACAGGTGCTACCACCCCGGTTCAGGTTGGACCTGGGAACCCCAGCAATTATGAGGTGGTTCCGCATTCTTCAAAACCTCCTAATCAGAGACCTTGCTGTTAGATGTAGTTTATCGTCATACCCAGGTCGGCACGCTGATAAGATGTGACACAAAGTTCACATTTAATATGGAGCACCCATACACGTGCATACGAGCTAAGGGCAGATATTGCCCAATCCCCGCGACCACTGCTTGCGCTGGTATTGTTATCTACCAACTCTCTTGCTTTAGTGTAATGGGGAAGGTGCTACCGCTGAGTTTACAGAAAACGTGATGCATAAATTAGAATGGCGAAAGATGCATTCTAAAAACTAAGCAATGTATTAAGAAACAGGAAAATTTCGTTTAATAAGTGTACTGAACTGAAATGTAATATCAATGCTGGACAATTTATTTCACAGAGGCAAAGGAGACTTTCTACTTCGTGTTGTCCTGTGCTTAGCTTCATAAATATAAAAAGAATAGCGTCCACAAATCTTCACAAATTCTTTGGTATATTTTATTTATAATGCGAGTAACTTGATTAATTTTTGAATCTAACAAATTTTACTGTATTCACGCCAGAATAGTCTCTATAATACAAAACAGAAGATTGAAAATTAGCTAATAATCGATAAAGTTATGGAAAAGTACATCGCTAAGAGAGTACGCTGTAGACTGAATAAAGTCTGTTTGTCGTGTGTAGTTTTTCTTTTCAGTTTTGTCCCTTATGCAACTCCATTAACGAGACCTACTATTATATCATTCTATTCTTGCCAAAGCAGCTTTTGTCATGATTGATCTTTGCGCAGGCGCTTTAGGTCGCTATTTGTCAAAAGACACGGCCAAGTGATCGGTCGGTTGCGTATTTGACTGGCCATTGAAGAGACTTCCATGTTTTCCACGATTCTACTCCTAATTGATTTACTCAATTGCTCGGAAGTTCTTACGAACATATTCAATAAGATTTTTTTTTTTAACCACAGACATTTAACCCGATGAAACGGTTTATCTCCAGGGTGTCAAAGTGAATAAAAGTTTTAATCGTATTTACAATGAAGACTCGTTTCATGGGCAACTCTTTCTCCTGGGTCTGTATGGCAATTGATGCTTGCCTTAGCGACCACCAGCAAACAGTAGATCGAATTCACCGGATAATTCGCAAACAAAGAACAAAAATAAAATCCTTCGTGGCAAGATAATAGATCTCTTTTTTTACTTTTTTTTTTTTTTTGATCAATGGTTACGTTGTAATCGATATTTAACTGTTGCTTAATCAGACGATTGTAATCCAGATGGTGCTATTTTAGAAGTTCCAAACAGTATGAAAAGCGAAACTCTTAATGTAAAAAAACACACGAGCAGTTAAATTCTACATGTTTGTATATCAACAGTTAAATTAACGATGTAACATTTTCAAATCCATATTTTATTTCACATTGAACATACACGATCTTCAATTGCACTTTGTAAGGAACCAAAAGGCTCTTAAAAGGATTTTAAATTGTACTAAATTTAATTTTTATTGTCAATATATGTCTATTTTTATCTATCTATCTATCTCTCTCTCTCTCTCTCTCTCTCTCTCTCTCTCTGTGTGTTTATCTGCTTGCCTTTGTTTTTCTATCTGCTTTTTTCTGTGTGTGCGCGCGTACGTATACGATTGACTGCCATCTATCTGGCCTCTCTTTCTGTAACTACCTCTGTCTGTCTGCTTCTGTCTATACCCCTCTCTATCTAGATGTCTTCCTCTCCCTCTCTCTCTCTCTCTCTTGCTCTCTTACTCTCTACCTGTGCACGTGACTGTTTGTCTGCATCTTGCCTCACGTTCTGTAACTGACTCTTTCTCTTTCTATTTGATTCTGTTTGTGCCTCTCTCTCTTTCTCTCTCTCTCTCTTTCTGTCTGTTACTCTCTCTCTCTCTCTCTCTCTCTCTCTCTCTCTCTCTCTCTCTCTCTCCGAGAGACCAATCCTATTTTTTAACTTTTACATTTTGTGGGGGCAACTTTTTTCTTCTTTCATGTTCCCTGTTTGTGATCATGGCCCTCTTCATCTTCCTGTCCTTTGTGGCTCTTAATAAGTGTCTTTTTGTTATTTCTCCCGAACCCTCTTCCACAATCCATTTGCTCAAGCCCATCAAGTATGTTCTGTACTGCCTCTGTCCCTCTTTCCCTCTGTCTGTCCTGTGAGGATCAGATTTTCCAAGCCCTCCTTCCTCATTAGAAACTTCAACTCCCTCTTCCTGGTCTTAAATATGTTTCCTCTTTGTTTCCGATCTCATCGTTGCTCACAGCCTATGGTATCCTCAGCATCTTTCTGTAGAAACACATTTCTGTTGCTCTTATCTTTGAGGAGATTGTCCAGCATTCGTTGTCATACAGGAGAGCAGATATCACGTAACAGTTCAGTACACTTTTCTTTGTTTCTAACAAAGTTTTTTTCTGTCTCTTAATACCCTGCTTAGCTTTTCGAATACATCATTAGCCATCATTCGGATCTCAGTGTCGCACTTTCCGTCCTCTGTTTGAATACTTCCCAGATATTTAAATTTCTGTACATGCTTGATTTTAATATGCCCGACCAGTATTTCACTCATCCTAAAAATCATTCCCTGAATTGATCTCAACTAAAGGCAATCATAGAAAACCCAAAGTAAGTCATTATTAGAAAATCTACTTCCGTTTCTTTCCAAACTGAACCCTAACACTTCCGATAATGTCATCAAGTAAGCTAAATCAAGCAAACATTTTTGTTTGTTTTGTTTTTTGTTTGTTTTGTTTTTTTGGGGTTTTTTTTAGCGACAGTTTTTTTCCAGCTTACGACGGTGTGTGACTAACGTGCCTCTATTGTAGTCTTCGTTTGTTTACTCACCATCGTTGTAACATGACTGGTTACGTACCAAGTCAACAAGATCTCTTAATTTCCAGTGATTACTGTCTTGCTAGATCTTCTCTGTTACTACTACAAGTTTTTTTTAATAAAATCAATGTGTTCCAAGCAAAATAGAACTGTAGCGATAATGTCAGTATCTTCCAAATAATTATCGCTGTTGTATCGACAGCTTTCCTTATCGCTTATATTATTATATCGGCATAATTCTGGCTGGCCAATTGTTGCATATATTTGCGTTCTTATCGTACACTGATTTACTTGTACTTCTGTCCTCATTTTAGTTATATTTACAACGATTCCTTTTCACGGGATAAATGGACAAATTGGTTGGCGGTTTTGTGTTCAATACTTGGTTTGGTTTGGTTTGTTTTATGGCATATCAACCGCAATGGGTTATTTAATGTGATCAAAATTTTCATTGTTAGTAATAATTTTTTCCAAAAATCTATTTCTGGTAAGAATTTTCCTTCGTTGGTATTTATTTATTTCATTTATTTATTTTTTTTTTTTAAATGCATAGCTGGTAATATGTTTTTTTGTTTGTTTTTTTGTTGTTGTTGTTGTTGTTTGTTTGTTTTTTTGTTTTTTCAAAAATGTATTGCAGGTGGTTTTTTTTGGGTTTTTTTTTTTACAAATTATTTCTGGTATTAAAACCTATTTTTACACTTTCATAGCGTTTTGACCGTAGTTTGGGAGTTAACTATTTGCCCATAGCTGGGACCCTAACAGGTGCTACTACACTGGGTTGACCTGGAAACACAAGCAATTAAGAGATGGTTCCACGCTCCCCAAAACCTCCTGATCAGAGGCCTTGCTGTTAGATGCAGTTCATCGTCATACCCGGGACGCGGATGTAGTTTATCGTCTTACCCAGGACGCTGTTCAATACCTGGGTTGGATAGTGTAAAACGTTGTATATTCTGTTTCAGTGGAAAAATTAACAAGAAGTAATTAATTGATACAAGGTTTCCTCCAGCATGGACATCAGAATGAGAACAATTATTGAATTGAAAAGAAGGTTTGGTCCGAAATTCCCAGAAAGTAGCCAACTACGACAAAAAAACGCTGGGTATAATAACCGAATTGTAGTGACTATAACAACCAAGATAGGGACTTTACTCGAGGTAAATACTCAGTGTATAATAATAATTCCACATCTCAAATTTTCAGACAAAACTTATTTGTGTTCTTGTTTTATGATCACACCAAGTAACAAAGAAATTTTGATTACATGAGCATTAAATCCAGTTCACTATGTGTCGCTTAGAAACGACTTGCGCCTCCCCAGTCAATCCTGTTAATAAGCGGTTTCGACTTCTGTTTTCAAAACGAGGCTTCGCACAAAAAATAAGATGCAAAGACTGATCCATTACTTCCATTTACATATATGGCATTCCACCAGATAAGAATAGGTAGAAAATGGCATCACAGTAGTAAAAGGAGCACCCTTCGTGTAATTATTTTCCGCTTGCTTGCTGTTAAGTGATTGGATTCCATTTGACCGAAGGTGATTTGACTAGCGTCCTAAAGCTTCCGTCAGGTCAATCATTAACCTTACGTCAAAGAAAAACTGTTTTCACGAAAAATAAAATATATAATATTTGAGAGACAACTAGAGTGAATGCAGTGGTTTCTGGGGCTGCAGCCCAACGGTATTTAAGCTAGCTCCACGTAGGGCTCTTGATTGAGCCTTCATCACAATAGGTAGGGAGGAGTAGATGAGATAGGCAACAATAAACTGCAGAAGTCAAAACTGTTCGCAGCATTTAACTATTGCATTAATATTTAAGGTTTTAAAAATCACGTAAAAAATCACCGAAAACAATTCACAGTTAATGTAGTTACTGAAGAAGTAGTCTGTATTTATTCAATCAAAGTTAGCCGATGATATGAAGGAGTAAAACAGGCAACATGAAGACCCACTTCAGACCACAATTATTTTGGAGTTTTTGGAATTCAATTTGTCAGTGTGCTACCAGGGATGTAAAACAGGATACATTTATAAAGCAATTGCGAAATTGGATTCCATTTGACCGAAGGTGATTTGACAAGCGTCCTAAAGCTTCCGTCAGGTCAGTTATTAACCTTACGCCAAAGAAAACTGTTTTCACGAAAATTGCTGGTCCGGATCTGGCCCGGAATGTTTTTAATATGCTCAAGAAATCGTCTTGATTCCAAAATGGTATAATATGTTTGGTTATGGCCTCTAGGAGTAAAGTTGAAAACGTGTGACACACTGACATTCGCATCTATTATATAAATTAGTAGGCCTTTTGACTAAACCGAAGGAAGAAGCGAAGGGTTTTAAAGTCGGAATTTTTGGACACGCCTATTTCCTTTCTTAACGAGACGAGAAATAGGGCTCACTCTTACGGGGAGGTTTTCTTTCCATAGGTCGTATTACTGTAAGAAATTTGTTTTTGACCTAAAAGTTTGCCACGATTAGGGTTATGGAGGATTTGGAGAAGGGGTAGGAATCTACTTCTTCTCCAAAATAAATTCGTACAACCTAAAAAGACATATTTTATTTAAAACGGTTGATAAGCCTTAAAAAACAAATAAATAAATCGATCACAGAACAATGTTTATAAGATCATAAACAGAAGCAAAACATATACGTAAGATATCCAAAATGTAAGGTACATCAATGAATAAATCAATTGGAATCAAAATATTGTCAGGGTTGTAAACACAATGCAATATTAGTGAATCCAACGCTCAGAACAACTTTAGTATTGGACACAGGTATATTTAATGGCGTAACAAAGAAGACGACATAAAACAGTGGGAAAAGATAGAGATAAGATGTGTAATAAGGCTTTTGCACGCTAAGGGTAAAAATCGAACTTTGGATCCCAAAGCAATTGAGTGAAAAACACAAGTTTCAGCGCACGATCATTTTATTTCAGCTTTTCAAACGATAGAGGGACTTTACAATGATGGGTAATGAGACCTAGATGTATCATGTTACCCCGGAGGCAAAGGTTGATTCCCTACCCTCGAAACATCCTTCGACAGCGATGATCCCCAAATTCAACTTTCAGCAGCCATCGAAGAATACGATAGCAACTGCGTTCGGGGATGCAAAATGTGTTCTACTCGTAGACTTCCTGTCGCATGATCAGTTAAAGCAGTTAGATATTGCGAGACACTCGACAGGCTGAAGGAAGCTGTTCGCCAAAGGAGACCTGGGCATTTGCGTAAAGATGTCATTCTAACGTTACGACAACGTCAATCCATACACGCCATACCTGACAAAAGTGTACTTCTGTCAGAATATTTCACCATATCCACTGCATTGTCTTTATTTTGTTCCTTCATATTATAATCTGTTTGGGCTCCTCAAACAGAATTTATACAGAAAGCAGTTCCACACAGGTGTTGTTGCAGAGATGAAAAGGTAGATCCAGTCGCTTAACTCCATGTTCTTCAAGGGAAATAAATCCGGATGGCAACTCTGTAACCTGTGCACAATTTTCTATTTCTTTAGATATAAACATGTTGATTTACTAAATGTTTGTACATTACTTTTCGGGCAGACATCATAAATGATCTTGATTTTAAGGAAATTGTACTTATCTATCTATCTATCTATCTATCTATATATATATATATATATATATATATATATATATACAACAGCGGATGTCTGTGTGTCTCTGCATGTGTGTGTCTGTCTCTCTGTCTGATACCTTTTCACACGAGATCCATCCAACCGATTTTGACCAAACTTGGCACATTCATTGTCCAATGTAAGAGATAGGTTCTTAGCATAAAAATCGATAATTTAAAAAAATCATTTAGCGATAAAGCCGATCAAAATTCGATAAATTCAACTTTTTTCCTCCGATTTCGTTCAAACTCGGTATGTAGGTTACTTACATCATGACGAGCTCAACGATATCTCATTTTTATTTCTACGCCACTGCGTTTAGTGAAAAAACGCGAAAAACGAAAAATCTGTTTCAACACAAATCGATTTCAACACAAATTTTAAACTAAAAACTCCCTCAATTTTCAAGCAATCTAATACACTTCACTCAATTGTAGCCAGCATTAAGTTGATTGTTTTACAGATAATTGATAAATGAGTCAATCCATATAGTGAAAACCCGCGCAAATAGCGAAAAATGGCGAGTTT